GAGACACAGAATCCAAAGCAAGTTTCAGGCTCTGAGCTGTCAGCACAGAGCTCAACACGGGACTTGAACTTGGGATTTCTCTCTCCCTCTCTCCCTCCCCCTCCCCAACTCATGCTGTCTCTGTCTCTCTCAAAATAAATAAACTTTTAACAATTTTTAAAAAACAATCAGTACTTTTGTCTTTTTCCTTTGCCCACGTGTTTTGTTTCATAAACTCCACATGAGTGAAATCATACGGTATTTGTCTTTCTCTGATTTATTTCACTTAGCATCACACTCCCTCACTGCAACCACGCCGCTGTAAATGGCAAGCTTTCATTCTTTTTTATGGCTGAGTAATACTCCATTGCGTGTTTGCATCCCATCTTCTTTATCCATTCATTTATCTCTTCATTCAGGTCTCAGGTTCAATGTCATCTCCTGCAGTGGCTGTCCTGGCTGCCTCAACAGCCGTTCCAACCTCTCCCACAAGCAGCTACTTGGAAGGGACTGAGCTGCTCAGCTGCTCAGTGGACGGACTCTGGTTTGTCTAAACCACTGGAAATTCATCCCCTTGGCCATAGGCATCAGCTGAGGCAGAGACACGTGCCCTATCATAGTTCACTCGGAGGGACTCCCATAGCTGGGGAAGACAGTTTTCTCCTTGGACATGGCCTCGGACACATGCAGATCCTAGAGCTGGGGGCAGCTCTCCTGTGATCATTTGAAGAGCCCACTGTAATGTAGGCGGACGGAAACAATGTGGAAAGACAGAAACGCCGTTGTTGGTGACGCTGCTGAGCTCTCAGATGAAGCCATCCTGAAGTCCTGCATGCCTTTGGGCCACTTGGACCAAGAAAAAAGGTGCCGCTTGACTCTGGGCGGTGGAAATCCTGACTGACAGCCCTTTAGAGAGGTCCACGCTGACTGGCGCCTCACCCCCACCAGATCACACTGTTTAGCATCGGCACTGCACCTACCACTACCCGAGGGGATTATTTGCTCCTGCAGGCTCTGGCACACAGGTGGTGCTCAATTAATGTTGTTGCATGTCTGATGCCCTGTTCACCGGCTGTTTCTTTTCTCCTTTTTCCTTTGTTTTGTGCTGTCCCCACTTCCCGGAATGTCCCCAAGTCCCTTCTCTTGCTAACACCTACTCATCCTCTAAACCGTAGGTCAAGTATCAGATGCTCTGAGATCCCTCCCTGGATCTGTCTCCTCTGAGCCTAGGTGTCCTTCCCATCTTACAAGACTAATCACCCTCTGCAGTAAGTGTCAGTCCGCATCTCTGGCTCCCCCAGGAGACCATGTGCTTACTCCATTTGACGGTTTTTAATGGAATGCTTACTATAAGTCAGACACTTTCCTAGAAGCTAGAAAAATAGCACTGGACAAAACAATATAAATACTGTGTTACGGTGAGGGAAAGACAGTTACTGGGTGAATAAGGAAACTATATGATTCAATAGCTGGTGATAAATTCTATGTAGGGCAATGAAGCGAGGAGTGGGGAGATGAGGCGGGTAGGGGATGGGCAGGTTTAACTGAGAAGGTTTGAGGTGGCTTCACTGGGAGGTGACATGTGAGCAAAGGCTTCATGCGGTGAGGGACTAAGCCACGTGGATAAAAAGAGAGAAAAAGTTGCAGGTAAGAAACAGCAAAGGCTCAGAGAAAGGAACTTCCTATGTAAAACAGGGAGGCCAGTGTGGGGAGAACATAGTGAGTTGAGGGACAGCAGGAGGCAGAAGCAGCAGATGGTAATGGGGCTGGATTTACACAGGGATTTTGGGTTTCACTCTGAGTAAATGACGAACCACTGGTGGATTCTGATCATTGGGGTGACATGGTGTGAATTGTATTTTTCAATGATGCCTCTTGTTCTGGGAGGAGACGGTGGTAGCCTGCACCAGAATGGCAGTGGTGAAGGCAGAGAGAAGTGGTACAGCTTCGAGTATTTGCTGACTGGTTGAATGTGAGACAAGTCAAGTCAGATGGTTTCAAGGTTCTTGGTCTAAGAAACCGATGGATAAAATCATCACTGACAGGGATAGTGGGAGAAGACCGCTGGAAAGGAAGACCAGGAGTTTGTGTTTGGACATGACTTCTAGACATCCAGGTAGAGATGCTGAACGGGCAGGGAGAGCGGCATTGGGGAAGAGATCTAAGCTGAGGAAACAAATTTGAGAAACCTCAGCATGTGATGCTATGTAAAGCCATGAAGTCCAGGGCTGAACCTGGGGCCTGTGAACATTTAATGGTCACGGGCAGGAAGAGGAACTAGCAGAGGAGATTAGGGGCAGCCACGGAAGTTGCATGGGAACCAGTAGCGTCTGGTATCCTGGAAACAAGGACAAGAGTGTTTCAAGGACTAGAGAATGATCAATTGTGCCAAATACCATTGACAAGAGGCCCAAGAAGTGGCCATGGGATCACCATGGGGTCACTGGTAACTTGAGAAGGCAGCAGGGACTAAAACTGTGCTGTGAAGCACAGCAGGCCCTGGATCAACTTTTTTTTTTTTTTTTTTTTTAACATTTACTTATTTATTTAGAGAGAGAAAATGCACGTGCAAGTGGGGTAGGAGCAGAGAGAGAGAGGGAGAGAGAGAGAGAATCCCAAGCAGGCTCCACATGGTCAGCACGTGGGGCTGGGGCCCCATGAGCCCGTGAGATCATGACCTGAGCCGAAATCAACTCAGGCGCTTAACTGACAGAGCCACCCAGGTGCCCCTGGTTAAACATTTATTGACTATTCTCAGTGACTGGCCAATTTTGAGTCTTTTGATTGGTCCTGTTTAGTTTTACCTCCTTCAATCTAAAGACAGTGCCACCCATCGGGGTGATCTTTCCAAAATGCAGATAAAGTCATTCCCCCACTTATATCTTCAGTGCAAACCATGTTGGGATGAAGATGTGTTCAGTTGTAGGTGTGAGGAAGGATGTTGTTTGTAGCACTGCTTGTAACAGGGGAAAACTGGAAATAACTCAGCATATTCAACAGGAAATTGTTATTGCAGGTAAGATGCATCTAAACAATGAAATGCTAGACAGCCATTAAAGTACTGCTACAGAATATTCAGTGACAAGTGTTCAGTTTGTGTTGTGAAGCGAGTGAGGTGGGAACAGTGCAGTAAACACACTCAAGAGTCTACCTTTGTGTTGAACAGACAGCACGATAGTCTATAAAACAGAGCTTGGCAAACGTTTTCTGTAAGGAACCAGAGAGTAAACATTTTAGGCTTTGTGGACCACATCTCAGGCACAACTATTCAGTCTTAATGTGAAAGGGCTCATAAATAAAATGTAGATGAGGAGTGTGTTCCAATGAGACTATATTCATGGGTGCTGAAATTTGAACTTTAAAAAAATTTTTTTTAATGTTTTTATTTATTTCTGAGAGAGAGAGAGAGAGAGCGCGCAGAGAAGGATCAGAGAGAGAGGAAGACACAGAATCTGAAACAGGCTCCAGGCTCTGAGCTAGTTGTCAGCACAGAGCCTGATGTGGGACTCGAACCCATGAACTGTGAGATTATGACCTGAGCCGAAGTCGGACGCTCAACCGACTGAGCCCCCCAGGCGCCCCTGAAATTTGAACTTCATCATTTTCACGTGTCACAAAATACCCTGCTTTTGACATTTCCCCAGGTATTAACAAATATAAAAACCATCCCATTGGCTGGAGGAAACCAGCAGAGGGCTGGATGTGGCCTGCAGGCCAGTCTGTAACGCCCCAACTCCCCTCCTGGTCTACAAGACAATCAACCAAAATGTTCACTGTAGACATTTGCTCATGATAATGTGAGATTATACTTTTATCCTCTTCATTTTGGTCTGTTTCGGGAGGACAGTTTCCTCCCAGATATTTGCACGGCCCATCCCTTCACCCGTCTAAAACTTTGCTCAAGTAATACATTTCCAGCCAGGCTTGCCTCGAATCCTCTATTTAAAACGGCAACATAGGTATCCATCTGCTTTGACTTGCACTTTTTTTTGGCTTCCCCCCCAAAAGTACCATTTTTTCATAGACGAAATAATTTGTTTTAATGCTTTTGTTTTTGTTTGAGAAAGAGAAAGAGTGCAAGCGGAGAAGGGGCAGAGAGATAGGGACAGAGGCTCGGAAGCAGGCTCTGTGCTGACGACAGTGAGCCGGATGCAGGGCTTGAAAGTCTGACGTTTAACCGACCTCCAGGCGCCCCAACAATTTAATTTTAAATACATTTATTATCGGGGCGCCTGCGTGGCTTAGTCGGATAAGCGTCCGACTTTCGCTTGGGTCATGATCTCGCGGTTCGTGGGTTCGAGCCCCGCATCGGGCTCTGTGCTGACTGCCAGCTCAGAGCCTGGAGCCTGTTTCAGTCTGTGACTCCCTCTCTCTCTCACCCTCCCCTGCTCACGCTCTCTCTCTCTCTCCTAGCAATAAATAAAAATAAATAAATAAATACATTTATTATCTATACCTCTCTTTTTCCTCCCAATTCTCAAGACTCTAAGCTCCATGAGGTCAGATTTCTCTCATATATTGGCTAGTGTATTACAGTCTCCTGGAGTAGTGCCTGACACATGCTGGGGGCTCACTAAGTATCTGTTGAATGTATGAAGAATTAATATATTACATTTAAGATTAGAAAACGAACACACAAAACAACATGCCTACAGATCTGAATCCCCATCCCTAAGGAAATCCACAAAGGGCCTGGCACTGAGGTCCCTTCGCAGTCCCTCCCACTTACCCAGCCTCCCAATCCCCCAGACCCAGCGGGCTGTGTCGCTGCCGGCGACGCCTCCTGCTGCCACTAGGAGACGCTCGAGCCCGGGCGTCCTGGAAGCACAAACCTCGTCCCACATGACCCGCGCCGTAACCACGTGATCGGCGTCGCACCCGGTGGGCGTCACGTGACGGACTCAGCTTTCCTCCAATCGTTGCGCGCCTTTCGGGGATTTCGCCTAGAACCGAGGCTTTAATTTAAAACACCCCACTCTCCCGCCAGCCAAACGGGACGGCTGCCTGCTTCCAGCTGGATAGCGGTGTCTCTCAGAAATCTTCTTCTAAAGCGGCTTCAGGAGGCGCGGGCCTACGGCGCGCTCGGTCCCGGAAGTGACGTCTCCCAGAGGGGCCGGAAGTGGCAGTGGAGGGAGGGAAGATGGCGGAGGTGGTGAGTCCGGTGCCCGGGGCGGGGCGGAGGGAGCCAGGGGAGGTGGGTAGAACCCGAGGCCCCCCAGTAGCCGACCCTGGCGCCGCGCTGTCTCCCCAGGGGGAGATAATCGAGGGCTGCCGCCTGCCCGTGCTTCGGCGGAACCAGGACAACGAAGATGAGTGGCGTGAGTGACGTCGGGGGGCGGGGCTAAGGAACCTGAGGGCGAGGGGCGGGAGGGAGTCAACCGAACCCTCGGGAGGGGGTGGGGCCTCTATAATCTTGGGGCGGGCGGGGCTCAGATACCAGGAGGGGCGTGGCTCCCAGCCGCTCCGAGATGTACAGGGCGGGGCTTGGGGAGGGGGCGGCACTTGGTGACTAAAAGGGGTTTGGGCGAAAGCTTCCAAGTGCTGGGGATCCGGCCTGGGGGTGGAGATCAGGTCTTAGGAGGGTGGATCCTTTTCGCCCGACTTGTCTAAGGCTCCTGCCTGTGCTGTTCCCACAGCCCTGGCCGAGATCCTGAGCGTGAAGGACATCAGTGGCCGCAAGCTTTTCTACGTCCATTATATTGACTGTGAGTTCTGGGCTGGGGTGAGGCAGGGCTGCAGGGTGGGGTTGGGAGGCAGCCTCTGGCACTCCTTCCTGAGCCATCCCCACTGCTACAGTCAACAAACGCCTGGATGAATGGGTGACCCACGAGCGGCTGGACCTAAAGAAGATCCAGTTCCCCAAGAAAGAGGCCAAGACCCCCACCAAGAACGGACTTCCTGGGTCCCGCCCCGGCTCTCCAGAGAGAGAGGTGGTGAGTAGGTCCCGTGCTTCACCTTTTTTTTTTTTTTTTTTCCTGCCTCCTACTTTTCTCATCTCTTGGCCTCAGGGGCTCCTGGATGGGCAGGAGTCCGCACCCTTCCACTCTGGCTTCAGCTTGCAAAGGATGGGGGGCCACATAGCAGATGTAGCTTCCAGAGTCCAGTAGCTGTTCCTGTGTCCTTGAGAGGGCAGAGGGTGGGGTTTGATCACTCCACGCTGAGGGGCCCCTATTCCCCTTCCCCATCCCACAACCAACCCCACCCCAGAGGAAGACCCTGGACCTATCTCTACAGCCGGCCTCCGCCCAGGCCAGCGGGAAGACCTTGCCAATCCCGGTCCAGATCACACTCCGCTTCAACCTGCCCAAGGAGCGGGAGGCCATTCCCGGTGGCGAGCCTGACCAGCCGCTCTCCTCCAGCTCCTGCCTGCAGCCCAGCCACCGCTCAACGGTACCCTCCGCAATTCCAGGGACCTTGCTTTCCTCTCAGGTCCCGCCTTCCCTACCTTCTGACCCACCTTTCTTGGTTTCTCTCTGCAGAAACGGAAGGTGGAGGTGGTCTCACCAGCAACCCCGGTGCCCAGCGAGACAGCCCCAGCCTCAGTTTTCCCGCAGGTGAGTCCCCCCCCGCCCTGTTTTCTCCTCCTTTCTTCTCCCCTCCTGGCAGCCCCTTCCAGGCTCATCTCACAGCCACCTTTTCTCTTCCTGCACTTCTACCCGCAGAATGGATCAGCCCGCAGGGCAGTGGCTGCTCAGCCAGGGCGGAAGCGAAAATCAAACTGCTTGGGCACTGACGAGGTGTGTCTGGGGAAGGGGGAAGCTGGGGGTAAAGGCGGGGGAGGGGCGGGGTGGACATAGGCAAGGTGGAGAGTTCAGGGATTGGTTTGAAAATAAATAAGACGCGGTAGGCAGGGCAGGATCCTGGTGGGGTGAGGAGCCAGGCAGAGCTCAGTCATGGGGTGATGCTTTCCAACTGCAGCTGAAAGCTTTCTAGTTTCCTTTTCTTTTCCTGGAAAGGGGGATACGGTACCGCCCCACCCCGTAGGGTTGTTGTTAGGCTCGAACAAGGAAAGCTCTGGAAGGGTTCTGTGCGCCGCCTCCTGTAACCTGGTGTCCCCGCTGGCCCTGGGCAGGACTCCCAGGATAGCTCAGATGGGATCCCGTCGGCTCCACGCATGACTGGCAGCTTGGTGTCCGACCGGAGCCACGACGACATCGTCACCCGGATGAAGAACATTGAGTGCATCGAGCTGGGCCGGCACCGCCTGAAGCCGTGGTACTTCTCCCCGTACCCGCAGGAGTTGACCACGTTGCCCGTCCTCTACCTCTGCGAGTTCTGCCTCAAGTACGGCCGTAGCCTGAAGTGTCTGCAGCGTCACTTGGTACGAGGGGTCCCAGGAGGCTGCCTTCCTACTGCACCCCCCCCCCCCGCCCCTGCCTCTGACCCTCCTCTCTTCCTCAGACCAAGTGTGACCTGCGACATCCTCCGGGCAACGAGATTTACCGCAAGGGCACCATCTCCTTCTTCGAGATCGATGGACGTAAGAACAAGGTCTGTGGCTCGGGCAGGGGGCAGTCACTGGCACGTGTGGTGTGGGGGGAAGTTAAACGAGCAGCCTCCTCCTGCTCAGGAAGACATGAGCGGTCTGGTCAGAATAGTTCATCCTGGTTTTATGGGGTTCCCGCTGTAGGGCAGGTGTGGGGAGGTATAAAGAGGACCAGTATTTCGACAGCATCTCTGAGCGTTCACAGTCTGTGGAAACGAGATTTGCCAACATCCACTGAGATCCCAGGGATAAGTGTCATGAAACAAAACATGGGTTTTCAGGACCCAGAGATGACCCGCAAAGCTTCACGTAGGAAGCCGTCTTTGATCCTTGATGCAAGGATAAGGTGGGTAAGGGATTCGCAAGCAGCAGGGTCCTGAAGGGTAGGCCTGGATGGACAGGTGGTGTGAGGGCTCAAGATCAAGGGCTGAAAAGCAGAGAGGATGAGGCAAGATTGTTAGAAGAGGCGGAGCTCAGGTGGTGAGGGTGGGGTCAGTTGGGGGACGAATAGGGGTCACTGCAGGTTTGGATCTTCAAACCTGCCTTGCTCTGTGGCTGTGGGGAGGAAGGAAGGAGTAATCTGGAGGGACCGTTAGGACCATGAGGTCATTCCCGGGGCATAGAGGGCACTGAGGGCATCTTGAACAGTGAGGGAGAGCTCTGGCTTGGGTGCTGGGGAAGCTTGCGGGAAAGACGCTGTTTTCACCACCGTTCCTTGTGGTTAAGTGTAGATTTAGGCATCACGGTGGCAGCGCCCGGCAGGTGGTTGAAAAGCTATGTCTGGTATGTGGGAGAAAAATGTATGCAGAGGTAAAGCAGCAAGATTAATCATTTTGGTGGGCAGCACCCCGAAGGCTGTTTCCTTTCGGCTTCTGAGCACCTAATCTCCGTCGTAGGAGGAAGTCAGTCTCCAGTAGGTGTGACTGTGGGCCAGACAGTGTTGTGGTTTTGAGAGGTAGATTCCCAGGACTGGCGCCTGGGTGAGGTGCCCTCCTAAGCCATGGGAGTCTGTCCTGGAGATGCGCTGCAGTTTGTTGACTGTGTTGACTAGAGCAGAGGACAGTGGAAGCCCCCCAGGCGAGACTCGGGCGGAGGTGTGGGGACAGGGGTAAACCCGCCCAGCCCACCAGCAAGGCAGGGGGTCTGCCGCCATCACAGGGCAGGTACACAGGCTCGGCACTGAGGAGTCTCTCTGCCTGAGCGGCGGGGACAGCCCGACTGGTTGAATGGATCAGGCCCCAGGGAGGAAGGTTCATCGCCTGTCAGCCTCGGGTGCAGCAGCTAAATGACCACATTTAACACAGGGACCCAGGGTGCTGACGGGCCTTTTCCTTTGCAGAGTTATTCCCAGAACCTGTGTCTCTTGGCCAAGTGCTTCCTCGACCACAAGACGCTGTACTACGACACAGACCCCTTCCTGTTCTACGTCATGACAGAGTATGACTGTAAGGGCTTCCACATCGTGGGCTACTTCTCCAAGGTGAGCGCTGCTCTGGATCACCTCAGCCCTGCCCTGAGCCGTGCCCGCCTCCTCACTCAGCCACCCCTCCTTTCTAGGAGAAGGAGTCCACGGAAGACTACAACGTGGCCTGCATCCTGACCCTTCCTCCCTACCAGCGCCGGGGCTACGGCAAGCTGCTGATTGAGTTCAGTGAGTACTTGTGCCGGGGGCCGGCGGTGGGTACTTGGCAGGCCCAGCGCCCCCCGTGTGCCTGCCTCCCAGACATGCCAGGCTGGCTCTGTCAGCCCTGCTGCCCCGTCACCAGGGCAGCTGGCCAGAGATGCAGACGGGAGTCTTCCGACGTCCTCTCCGTTCTCAGGGTGACTGCCCTGCTCGTTTGTTAGGGTCTCAGCCCCTCACCCTTCTTCGGCTACGGTTCTGAGCGCCACCCAGCTTTTCCCAAATCTGACTCTTCTGCTCCTGCCGAGGGCCACGGGCAGAGGCCATGTGAGCCGCTGTGGCTCATCTGCGGGTTGTGGGCCATCATACACGTTCCTAGGTGAGAACCAGAGCTGCCATTTCCCTGGTCGTTGCCTGAGCCTTGCAGACAGTGGATGCTCGAAACGATGTTAACTCCGCAAATCCTCACGTGGATTTGGTCTCAGCTTCTTGGATTCAGGCAAATCAGTCTCTTTAAAGCTCAGAAGGGACTCTTCCCTACTCCTCCAACTGCAGGGCCCTTTCTGCTTCCCAGCATTTTCTCTCCACTCCGTTCAGCTCCCCACTCACTGAATCCTTGGGATAACCAGCTCTGACCTGGGGGACGGGAGGGGGCGTTAGCTGTTTGGTGAAGACACAGAGGCTTGACTTAATCCAGGTCGTGGTCCAGGTGAGGAATTTTATTAGAGTGGTTCCAGGATGGTGGCACGTCCCTAGGAGGCCCTCAGCCTGGCAGAGCAGGCAGGTGCTTAGAGAAAATGAATCTAAGCCTTGGAGCTCAGACCTCAGTGGAGACAGGATGTGGGCAAGGTCAGCAAGATGTGCTCAGTCCTGCCCAGACAGGTGCACCAGAAGCTTCCATTCCAGGTAGTTCCTGAGGGCTGGTAGAAGTTCAAGGAGGGGGGGGGGGGGGGGGAAGTTCCCTGCAGCCGAGGAGGGGAGTGTGGCCTCCAGTTGATGTGTCAGGGCCCCACGTGCACTGGTGGGCCCGGCAGAGCGGAGCAGGCACCCAGGTGCGCCCCTGTCCTCTTCTAGGCTGCCTTTCTCTAAAGCACCAGCCCCTCCAGCCCCCTTCCCCCCAGGCTGCTGCTGGAAGTCACGGGAGATTGGACAAGAGGGGAAGATGGGCAGATACGGGGGGGAGGAGCAGGGCGGAAAGGCCGTGGCCCAACGCAGTGATGACTGAGGGCGAAGAAGGGCTTCTACAAGTAATGGAGACGCCCCAGGCCCTACAGGAGAAATGAAGGCTCTGCCCAGAGACCAGAAGCCACAGAGGGTTTTTGCAGCACCTGAGGGGTTCAGGGGGGGAACTGTGCCAGTGCCCAGTAGTCAGCAAGATGGAGGAGGACAGAGCAGTCAGAGGGAGGAGACCCTGGAGAGGTCAGTTACCTGCTGAAGAATGACCTCCTGACCTGGTGCATTGGTACCTCTGTCCCTGCTTTACCTTCCCTCTTTTTTCTAATGTTTGATTTTGAGAGAGAACTGTGAGCTCCCACACACTGGAGAGGGGCAGAGAGGGGGAGGGAGGATCCAAAGGAGGCTCCGTGCTGACAGGAGAGTGCTCGATACGGGGCTCAAACTGGCACACCACGAGATCATGACCCAAGGCAAAGTCAAGACGTTCAACCAGCCGAGCCACGCAGGTGGCACTCTCCTTGCGTCCTGCCACACCTAGCTGGGCCAGCCTGGTTCAAAGGTGGGCTCTGCCTTGGTGCCTCACAGACCCCAGCAGAGAGAGCCTGGAATGATGAAAATAGAGGCACTTTCTTTTCATAAGCCATTTTCTCTGCATTCCCTGCCCCCAGCCCTGCCTATAAGCCTTCACTGGCTCCCAAGTATCCCTCCAAGGTTGACTTAGCAGAGGTGGAAGAGTGATGCTCATTAGTTCTTTACAGGGAAACTGAGGCACAGCGGCCAAGCCCCATATGCGAGGTCATGGAACGACCACACGACAGGGCCAAGATGGGACCCAGCCAGTTTACTTCCATGACCCACGCTCTGAAACACTTGGTTGCACAAAGCTGTGATCGCTTACCCACCCTTTCCCGCTCTGTTGCTGTAGGCTATGAACTCTCCAAAGTGGAAGGGAAAACAGGGACCCCTGAGAAGCCCCTCTCAGACCTTGGCCTCCTATCCTACCGGAGCTACTGGTCCCAGACCATCCTGGAGATCCTGATGGGGCTGAAGTCAGAGAGTGGGGAGAGGCCGCAGATCACCATCAAGTGAGCCTGGCCCTACCTACCCCTGGGGGTGCATGGCCTGTCCTGTCCTCACTCCTGGGATTCCTGGGGGGCTGGGGGCAGAGATGAAGGCCCCCTTAGGACCTGATCATTGCCCTCCCACAGCGAGATCAGTGAAATCACCAGCATCAAGAAAGAGGATGTCATCTCCACTCTACAGTACCTCAACCTCATCAATTACTACAAGGTAGGGGCGGGCAGGGGGAGACAAGTGTGTGCAGGGCTGCAGAGTGCATGCCCTACACGGGCTGACCGCCCCCATCTACCCCCCCCAGGGCCAGTACATCCTCACACTGTCGGAGGACATCGTTGATGGGCACGAACGAGCTATGCTCAAGCGTCTTCTTCGGATCGACTCCAAGTGTCTGCACTTCACTCCCAAGGACTGGAGCAAGAGGGGAAAGTGGTGACCAGACACTGTCCACAGCAGTGGCAACAAGACCGAAGCGGGGCTGACAGCACGTCCCAGCCTTCCCAGGGCCCCCAAGAGGCACACCAGGGGAGGTGGGGCTGAGGACAGCTCCATAAGGAGAGGACAGGCCTCGTAGGGCCTGGGCCCGCTGGAGCCCAGCACCAAGGCGAGCTCAGGGCTCAGGTCAACTCCAAGGTCAGCTGGCTGCGGGCCTGGGCCTGCTGTGAACCAGGGACCGAAGGGAGCCAGGCAGCTGTGTACAGTGACGTGGGGGGGAGGGGTGCACTCTGTACAGGGGACTAGTGACTGTAAAAATTTCTTTTGTAAAGTAGGAGTTGGGGTGGGTGGGTTCTGGCTGCAAAATTCTGGCCTCTCTTGCCCTCACCGCCTGTTGGCAATAAATTGTTTCTATAAGCCAGAGCCATGAAAGTTTGTTGTGGGAGAAAGTGCCAGCTTAGGGGCTCCAAGGTGCCCACAAACTCACAGAAGCTGTGAAGAGCTTGTTTATTTGGGGTGATGGAGTCAGCGGCTCCAGTGTGAAGAGCTGGTTTACTGGGGTGAAGGGACCGGCAGCTTTCAGTTTCAGGCTCCAGGTCTCAGTCCTCAGGCACCTGTGCGTGAATCTGCAACAGGAGTCCCCTCTACTATTGGATTTTTGACACAGAGTGGGCGGTCCCCCTGCCCTGGGAGGGGCCCTACTACTCAGAAGGACAGCCCCTTCTAGGCAGCTCAGAGGTGAGATGGGGATGCCACGCTGCCCCGGATCGGTCTCCTTGTCCACGCAGACCCAGGCTCCGTCTGGCCCATCGTGCTCCCCAGCCCGGAAGCCCCAAAGTCACTCAGGGGCAAGAGTCTGGATAACCCAGGGACTAACCTTGGAGTCGGAGAGGAAAGGATGGGGCCTGTAAGAGTGAGGGCTCATCCGTCTACTCACCGCTGCAGCGAGACGGGGCCAGGCCAGGGCCCCACGCACTCTGGCATCCGGACCGGGGATGGTCTCCAGGCCCCAAAGCGTGAAGCGACTGAAACTACCGGTGGCTCCAAAAAAGCGGTCCTGCGGAAGGAGCTCGGCTAAACGTTGGGGACACCACTCCCGCCCGCACCCCCTCCAGCCCTACCCCCATCGCGCTCACAAAGTCCCGCTCCAGCGCCTCTGGGGGTTCCACCAGCTCCTGCTGCTCTGGCTCATCGTCATTCGACGAACCCACCGAGGGGTCCTTCCCCACCAACACCTCTCCCTTTTCCTCCATCACGTATCCCACGAGGCCGGGCGGCACCACCACCTCCTCGCCGCGGAGCCTGCGGCCCCGAAACGACACTTCCAGTCCTGTAAGGAGGCAGGCGCAGACCCTCGGTGAGGGCCTGATTCGGGCCTCGCGGGGTAGCCCCCCGGAGCCCTCCCGCCATCTCCGGTGGACCACGATCCCCAAGGGCCCTTGCGCCGCTCCTCGCTGTGGAGAGAGGGGCGCGGGCGCGAGGGCTGCCGGGAGCTGTAGTCCGGCCGTGAGTGCTCACCGTCGGGCCTCTGGCGGATGGCTGGGGTGAAGAAGCACTCCACGGGGGCGGGCCGGTTAACCAGAACCTCGCAGGGCAGAAGGTGCAACGTGGCGGGAGGTGCATCGCGCAGCGTGCCCGGGCGCAAGTGGATTCGGCATTTCTCGACGGCCGCCTCTTCGCTGCTCTCCATCCTCCGCCGCGGTTCCGTCGCTCGCTGGCTAAGGCCAAAGCTGGCGCGTAAAGCACGCGGAGCCTGTCGGGAGGTCAGAGACGATCGGCGCAGAGCCTCCTGGGAGGCGTAGTCCTTCTTCCTTGAGGCGCCTCCGGAAGCCCTGCCTCTGTGTTCAAGTCCCAGCCTTTTTTTCTTGAAAATGTTTTTCAGTGGTACATTATTGTTGCAAAAAAGTTAAAACTATTTCGAAAAGTATTCTTTTTATGTTATTGGTAAGAAGAGCTGTTTGTTTTACTGGGGGCATCAGCCCTTTTTCAAATGTGTTGAAAATATTTTATCTGAGTTTGTGGTTAGTTTTACCGACTGTGACGTGTTTTTTTTGTAGATTTATCCACCTTTTCTTCTTATATCTTTTTTTGTTTTCGCAATAATATTTATTTTTTTAGTTCCTTAAATCTTCCGTAATGTTTATTTGTTCAGATGCCCAACTTAGATATGTTTTGTCAAGTTATTTCGTAACACGAGCATATGCGAAACCGGTAATTGAGGTTAAAACTGCAGTTAATTTATAGATTTGAGAAAGTGAAATACACCTCCAGACACCGAGGTGCTGGCGGTGGTGTTCTGTCAAACGTGAACAACTTCACAGAACATCAACATTAGACAAAGTTATTCTATGACATGAGGGATCAAGACAAAAACATCACTCTATAATCATGTGAACACCAACAAATACAGGAACATTGTCCAAACCACACAAATTATGAAACATCCTTCCATCTTGGGTAATGTAAGTGACCTTTACCAATTACACTTTTAGCCTTTGCCTAGGTAAGATTTGTTAACATATCCCATCCTCAGAATACTCCTACTTCCTAACAACACCCAATACAAAGAAAAACTCTCAGTTTCTTAAGCCCTCCCCCCAAATCACCGAGCACAAGCCCAAATCCTATTAATCCTTCCTAAACACCCTTTTACTGAGATGCCCAATAGCGCAAGAGTAATAAAGCCAGTTGTTCAACTATAGATGTGTTCCTGGTGTCTTTGGCTGGAGGGTATTGGTAAATTAGAAAGTCTTTCTTTAGTTTTCTATTGAGAATAAGATATATAATACCATTTATTCATGTCTCCTTTTACATCTGTCTGTGCAATTGTGAAGTTTTCTTTATATATAATACACATTACATATTTTTTAAAGTTTATTTAGTTATTTGGAGAGAGAGCACAAGCAGATAAGCCAAGAGGAGAGACAGAATCCCAAACAGACTCTATGCTATCAATGCAGAGCCCCGTGTGGGCCTTGAACTCACAAACCGTGAGATCATGACCTGAGCAGAGATCAAGAGTTGGATGCTCAACCGACTGTGCCACCCAGGCACCCCAGTTATTACATATTTTATTATTAGATAGTTTTTATTTGTTTCTGTTATTAAGTAGATTTTTCATTTTATTTTTATTGTTTAAAAATATTTTTTAAATTTTTATTTATTTTGATGGAGAGAGAGAGTGCACGCAGGGGAGGGACAGGGAGCGAGGGAGAGAATCCCAAGAAGGCTCTACACTGTCAGCACGGAGCCCAATGCAGGACTTAAACCCACGAATCGAGAGATTAGGACCTGAACCGAAACCAAGAGTTGGACCCTCAACTGACTGAGCCACCCAGGCACCCCTAAGATTTTATTTTATTTTATTTTATTTTTAATTTTTAAATGTGTATTCATTTTTGAGGGAGAGAGAGAGAGAAAGACAGAGCGTGAGTGGGGGACGGGCAGAGAGAGAGGGAGACAGAATCCAAAGCAGGCTGCAGGCTCCAAACTGTCAGCACAGAGCCTGACACAGTGCTTAAACCCACAACCGTGAGATCATGACCTGAGCTGCAGTTGGACACTCAACTGACTTTTTATTTTAAAAATGGAAATTATCATTTTTAAATTTTAATTTAAATATTTAAGTATTTCCCTTATTTTAAAAATGGAAATAAAATGGAAGTATCAAGCAATTTTTTTGCCTCTCTTATACTCACTCTACCAATGAGCAACCAGATAGTTGATGAGGGGGAGTGGTCTTTATAGAAGTATTCTTTTTTTTTTTAATGTTTTATTTATTTCTAGGAGAGAGAGAGAGAGAGAGAGACAGCGTGAGCAGGGGAGGGTCAGAGAGAGAGGGAGACGCAGACTGAAACAGGCTCCAGGCTCTGAGCTGGCAGTCAGCACAGAGCCCGACGCGGGGCTCGAACCCACGAAGCGCGAGATCATGACCTAAGCGAAAGTCGGACGCTTAACCGACTAAGCCACCCAGGCGCCCCTTTATAGAAGTATTCTTGACAGTAAAAGAAGAATGGCAGACTTAGAATATGGGCTCTGTAACCTCTAATGAATGAAAGGATGAGGCTGTGATCATCTGTGGCTGCTAACCTCACAAAAAGGAGACATGGTGGGGGCGCCTGGGTGGCTTAGTCGTTAAGCATCCGACTTTCGCTTAGGTCATGATCTCGCGGTTCGTGGGTTCGAGCCCCGCGTCGGGCTCTGTGCTGACTGCCAGCTCAGAGCCTGGAGCCTGTTTTAGAGTCTGTGTCTCCCTCTCTCTCTGACCCTCCCCTGCTCACGCTGTCTCTCTCTCTCTCTCTCTCTCCTAGAAATAAATAAAAATATTAAAAAAAAAAAAGACATGGGTTTTATGCACCCTCCCCTTGAAACAGTCCTACCTCCGCCCCTCAAAGAATCTGATGAAACTTCTAGATATCATTAGTAATTGGCAGGAAATATAGGATAGATGACCATGACACTAGGGTGCAGTCACTAGAATCCAGACGATGGGAAAGTTGCAGAATCGAAAATATAAAAATAAAAGCCATTATCTACTCCTGAGTTTAAAGCCGTCATCTACTACACGAGTTACTGTAGCGTTAATGACACATGTGTAACAAATCAAAAGGCAGTTTCATGATTATTGGTGAAATAGCAAAGCATTCCCATGAAAATTTCAGAAAAAAGAAGAGTGTCCACGGATACCAGCAGCATGTGAGATTGTTCTGAAAGTGCTAGAAAAGAAAATAAATTGCAAGCTGCAATGAGGAGGCAAAGTTATCATTGTTTGGAAGAGGAAGGACGAATCCTGGGAGACCCAAGAAAAGAAAATGAAAATTCTTAGAAATAACAAAAGAATTTAGTATCTATCTGGTTTAAAAACTAATGTGTGAGAATCAGGAGCTTTCCTGAGAACTACGCTTGCAGACCAAATCCTGTTCATTGCCTGTAAACAAATCAAGTTTTACTGGAAGACAGCCATGCTTATTTATTTGCATATTTATGGCTGTTCTATGCTATAATGACGAAGTTGGGTAATTGCGACAGAGACTATATGTGTGATTTGCCAACCTCTGCTTTAAGTAAATCATAGTTAAAAATAAAATGGAAGGGAGCCGGGCTGACTCAGTAACTGAGCATGTGACTCGTGATCTCGGGGTTGTGGGTCCAAGCCCCACGCTGGGTGTAGAGATTACCTAAAAAATAGAATCTTAGGGACACCTGGGGCCCTCAGTCGGTTGAGCATCTGACTCTTGATTTTGGCTCAGGTCATGATCCCAGGATCGTGGGATCGAGCTCCATGTTGGGCTCCGAGCTGAGCATGGAGCTTGCTCAAGATTCTCTCTCTCTCTCTCTCTCTGTCTCCCTCTGCTCTTCTCCCCCACTCACATATACTCTCTCTAAAATAAATTAAAAATATATATATAATTAAAAATAAAATAATAAGTTGTTTCCCTGGCATGCTCCGACTGGACTTTTTTAAAGTATCATTATTAAATAATAGATCTTTAACATTTTGATACGTTTCAGCTAATTCTGGTTATTATTCTTATTGATCTTCACATTGTCACGTCTATGCCAGTGGAAATCTCTTCAAGTTAGCTCCTGAGTTTTTATTTTTTTATCTTTTTAAATGTTTATTTTTGAAAGAGAGAGAGTGTGAGAGGGGGAGGGGCAGAGAGCAAGCGAGATAGAGATAGAGATGGAGAGAGAGAGGGAATCAGAAGCAGGCTCCAGTCTCTCAGCTGTCAGCACAGAGCCCGATGCAGGGCTTAAACCCATGAACTTCAAGATCATGACCTGAGCTGAAGTCGGACTCTTAACCTACTGAGCCGCCCAGCCTTCCCAGCTCCTGAGTCTTTTTATGTGACCTTAGTCTTTTATAGGGTTTTTTGTTTGTTTCCAGAACCACAAGATGCTCCTGGCTCATCTTGTATGGTTCCTGCCCCAGGCTTCAATCATCCATTTCTAGGTACGGATCCCTGGTTTTCTTACTGGGAAATTGTATTTACTAATCCAATCTGAAACTAAATGAGCTTATTGCTATAAGATTGTTTCTAGATGTTTTTAGTGGATGTTTTCAGGTCCTAGATGTTTTCAGTGGATGAAGCTAGGAAATATGTATATTTCTCTTTTAAAGAGAAAATACATCCTGAGTTCCTATTGTTACTTCTATGACTACAGGGCTTTACTAACCTCATTGCTCTTATATTTGTATCTTTTTTCCTCCTGTACTGAAAAATCCCAGTTATCATCCACTTGGTTCCCCATTATGTAAATAACAGCCTCAGAATAAAAATAACAACACCACAGCTAACACTAACATTAAAAAACACAGTTTAAGAATTTCTTTTTGTAGGTTTTTTTTTTTTTTTTTGGTCCTTAAGATATATTCCACTAGAGATGTATAATTCAATTACTGTTTTTAAAAGTCAATGAAAACCAAGGGATACAGGAGTGCTGATGCATAGGAGCACAGGTACCCCAGTGTTCATAGCAGCACTCTCCACAATAGCTAAAACATGGAAAGAGCCTAAGTGTCCATCAACGGACAAAAGGATCAAGAAGATGTGGTTTATCTATACCATGGAATACTACATGGCAGTGAGAAACAATGAAATCTGGCCATGTGTAGCAACATGGATGGACCTTGAGGGTGTTATGCTGAAAGAAATAAGTCAGGCAGAGAAGGACAAATAACATATGTTTGCACGTATAGGAGGATTAGGAGGAACTTGACGGAGGAACAAGGGGGAGAAGAAGGGCG